TGCTCGCACGTGCGCACCCTCTCCCTCAAATAAATAAACAAAATCTTTAAAAAATAAAAATAAGATGCCAAACCAGGTGCCAGGCTTACAGAAGTCACGCAGGAGCTCGTGGTACCCTCTCTCTTTCTATGTCTGCCCCATCAGCTCTGGAGAACTTTTTTGCTATGTGCTTGTTAACTGACTTGTTAACTCTACCTATCATTTATCTTCTTCAAAATGGGTTAGTAATCTTCCTCCCATTAGGAAGTTTTTTTGTTGTTGTTTTTGTTTTTAATAGTAGGGTAAATGGACTATAGGAAGGTTTATTAGCTGTTTGTTAAGCTTCAGGCAAATAAGGAGGATAATAACTGTGCTTTGTGGAAGTGGTTTATTTCACTCTTGGGGGTGTCGGATGAAAACCTACCGGGATATTGCTTATGAGGCTCAGAAAGGTTAAGTACCTTCTCCAAGTTAACCCAGCTAGCAAGAGATAAAATATGATTTCGAGCCCAAGTCTGGCTTAGAATTCGTGCAAGTGCCATCATTTCCCAAACCTTGGTGGTTCCCTGGTGCTTCACTTGAGGAAGGCCCCCCAAAACGAAACCAAATAAAATACGGATACCCCTTTCAGAGGCTTGCTTAGAGATTGAAATAGTAGACATTAATGAAGGTCAAGTGTCCCGCACTGGGCCTTTGACATGGGTTTTGTCTCTTCTCTGGTACTTTGTGAACTTAAATAGGGGTTTGCTTATTCTCATGATGTGACTCCCAGGAACCTGGCAGATAATAAATTTGGGCGAGGCAGACACCACAAACCTCATCTAAAAGAGGGAGCTGCTGTACCCCGCCTTCCCTGGCCCAGTGTTGCCATGGAGGAAATGCAGCCCCGTGTTTCCCAAACCTTCCGTCTCAATTTTTCTTCAGCGGCATCTTCTGATTTCTGATATCACCAACAAAAATTGATTCATAACAAAATACATCCACCACCTTCCAACCTCTGATTTAAGTAAGGGACAAAGACAGGCCTTTCTATCACTAGCAGTGAGAAAATCAGTACTCTGGCCTCCCGGAGAAGCCATCCTCCCACAGAGGAAAGAGCACAAATGTGCCAACATGGGCTTAAAACTGTAACTTTTTTTTCCCCTTCATTTCACCTCCACTGTGCTTCTCCAGCTTGTCCTGTATGGTCTCTTATCACTTCACATACTGAGATGTTCGTTCATTTCTCCCCACCAAATGTCGGCCTTTCTCCTGGCTGTTATACTTGTGAATTGTGAATCCGTGATTATGCTAGATGACTTGACCATAGTAATGGTATCATCTGCGGAGTCCATTCTTTGGTAGCCTTTTGTTCTGACTTATATGTGGACACCTGTGGTATCTGGGATGCTGGGGTGGCTCAGTTGATTAAGCATCTGACTCTTGGTTTCAGCTCAGGTCATGATCTTGGGGCCCTGGGATTGAACCCCACATGGGGCTCCATGTTTAGTGGAGAATGTACTTAAGATTCTCCCTCTCCTTCTCTCTCTGTCCCTCCCCACTCTAAAAAAAAAAGTTATATAAAATAAATATAAAAAATAAAAAATAAAAATATATTTTTTATATAAAATATATTTTTATAAAAATATAAAATATAAAAATTTATATATATATATGTGGTATCTTAGAAAGATGCTTTCAGTTGCAAGCAGCAGAATCCAACTAGAGTTAGTTTCAGAAAGAAAAACAAAGTCTTATTAAAAGGACTTATTAAAAGAACACAAGGGTGTGTCATGGAACGAAACAGCAATAATTCACCCAAAGCAGCAGAAGTGACTACAAGTGACTAGAATGACATTAGGAAAGCTGACAGCAACTCTCTCAAGCTTTCCCCTTCAGGTTGCATGATTTCTCTTGCCTCTTTCCAGCTGCTTGTGTCCTTCATTCTCTCTGCAGATGGCTTTCCTTTTTGTCCACACACAGCAGAGGAGAGCTGCCCCATCCTCTCAGCCTCAATTCCGGATTCCCTGGATTGAGGATATGATTGGCTCAGCTTGAGTCAGGTGTCTGTTCCCTGGTCCAATCAGCTGAAGCCTGAAGCGGAAGGGGTAGGACCAAGTTGTACAAATATGGCCACCACTCATGGTGTTTATCCTGAGATGGGCAGACTCACCAGAAAAGCATCTACTATTTAATTCTCTAGGGTAGGATGAGGTGTTGACAGAAGGAAAATGGACAAGTCCGAGCAAAGTACGGTGGAAAGGAAAAAAGATGATTTTTGAAAATCAGAAAATAAATTCCTTTGGATTACGCAACAACAGAGTAACTTGAAATATTTTATGAGTTTTGACATATTCCTTAATGGATTTGTGTTGTGTCAATTGGTCTCCTGAGTATTATTTTATTTTCTCTCACCATAGTACACGTATTTGGGGTTTGTTTGTGTGGGTTTTACGAGAGAAGTACAGTGATTTGAACTAACACATTTATTTCTTTCTTCCTGTAGAATAGAATAGTGGAATAAAAGGTGACTTTTTTCTTGTTATTCAGATAGACCTTAATTTAAATCTTGACTTAGCTTTTTTCTTACTCAGCTAACTCTGGATAAATTACTAAATTTTGTATCTCGGTTTCCTTGTCTGTAAAGTGGGGATGTTGTCATATAGATTTTCTGTGGCACTTTAATGAAATAATCTACATAAAGTGCCCAGCTTAGTACCTGAAACAAACAAATATTTGTTCCCTTTCTCCTCGCCACCAAAAGTGTGTACTTTGCTGAGTTAAGAACATAATCAGGGGCCATGGAACAAAATAAAAGCTTGCCCACTCACTTCTCCACACCACTTCAGTGGTTTCTATGGACCATGTCTCCATAATACCGTGATCTAACCAACCGAGCTAGTTTTCAGACTTTTAGAGCAGAGTTTAGTCAAAAATGTAAATGCAATAATTAGTATTTTTCATATAGAAAAACCATCGCTTACCCCACTCTGAGCCTCGATTTCCCCATCTGTTAAATTGGAGAAGGTCACAGCAATCCACAGGGTGACCGCAGCTCAGAGATGATATGTATAAAACACCTGGAACAATGGGAAGTCTATAGCTGGTGCTTCGTAATGGAGTGATTTTCTCTTTAAATTGGGTTTGTATGTAATCTGAGTTTCCAGGTCTTATAGTTTGGTACAACAGGTGAGAGAGAAAATGCTGCCCATCCTTTTTCAAAGTGATGCAGAATTTCCTCATCCATGGGCAAAGTTGGGTAGACATTGTTCACCATGACATTGCTTAGAATAGCAAAGGACTGAAGGACAACTGATTGTGTCTCAGCAGTAGACTCATTAAATTATTACATGTCCACTTGTTACTATAGAACCTTTAAAAAGAGTACAGTTGGTCTCTATGTGTTGACACTGAAAAGATCACCAAAAAAGAGCCTAGTTCCACTTGAGTTGAAAAAATATATATATAAAAATATATACAATATTATGTATAATAATGTATAATCTAATAATAATACAAATATATAAGAACATATATCATGTATGTGTGTTTCTGTATACATATAGAATCACAGAACACACACACAGTCATATATAAAATTTATGGATAGTTATATACACATAAACACACACAAATATTAACAATACTTGCTTCATTTGCAAAACAATATGTCCAATATAATAACATTGCAAAGCAAACCATTTAACATGAAATTTTTGAGAATACGTACATGTATATATTTGAACATACATGTTAAAACAGTCTGCGCTGATTCTCCTTAAACTGACAGAGTGGTGATTTCTGCAGATAAAATTATTTAGAACAGGAGTTAATTAAGGGGGCTCTTTATATTCTGTGCATTGTTTAAATATTTTACAGGGGGAGGGAGCTATCTGGCTCTGTCCATAGAGCATGTGACTCTTAATCTCAGGGTCATGAGTTCAAGCCCCATGTTGGGCGTGGATCCCACTTAAAAAATAAAATGAAATCAAATAAAAAATAAGTAAATAAAGAAGTATCTTATAGTGGGGCATTTGGGTGGCTCAGTGGTTAAAGCCTCTGCCTTGGGCTCAGGTCATGATCTCAGGGTCCTGGGATGGAGTCCCACATCGGGCTCTCTGCTCAGCAGGGAGCCTGCCTCCTCCTGTCTCTCTCTGCCTGCCTCTCTCCCTACTTGTGATCTGTCTGTCAGATAAAAAAAAAAAAAAAAAAAAAGAAGTATCTTATAGAGACTATTTCCCAGAGTTGCAGTTATAGTGGTAAAAATGTAAATATAATTGGAAATTTATACTGACATATGCTGTTCTTAACTATGGGTCTTAACTGTTCTAAATTACAGTAGTGACATGCTATAAAGAGGACAGAAATTGGGGCACCTAGGTGACTCCATGTGTTAAACCCTCTGCTTTCGGCTCAGGTCATGATCTCAGGGTCCTGGGGTCAAGCTCTGCGTCCAGGCTCTCTGCTCAGCAGGGAGCCTACTTCCCCCCCCACCCCAACCTGCCTCTCTGCCTACTTGTGATCTCTCTCTGCCAAATAAATAAATAAAATCTTAAAAAAAAAAAGGACAAAATTTCAAAGATGGAAACTTTCCATTTTAACTCTAATGTCATAGGTTTTCCTTTATAATTGTGCATTTATTATATTTATTAAAATATATCAATGAATATAGGCAATTTCATTTGAAAAATCCAATATTGATTCAATGAAAAATATAGTAGTTTCTTCTGGGAAGGAAACCAGCTTTTCATAGTATAATCTTATGTGCACTGTTATGGGCATAATTTTTTCAACATAGTGATATGTCTTTACTTTTCATTTTTTTCTTCTTTTAAATATAAGAAGAAATTAACTCATCTATTGATGAATTCAAGAGCTAACGCCAAACAGTAAGTCCTATTTAGGATCAAGGCTGTTGAGTAACTCAACTGAAGCCATTTTTAGGTGGAGGACATCACATGTAAACTAAATTATGAATCAAGTTCAAGGGTCTGCTTGCCAGCACCAGCCCTGATGCCGCCCTTGCTGTCTTGTCTCCACAGATGACAGAAGGCAGGCACTGCCAGGTGCACCTCCTGGATGACCGGAGACTGGAGCTGCTGGTTCAGGTAGGTGTTGCTCATAGAAAGACAGCCTGTACGGGTTCTCTCTGTGAGCCTCGTGGCCCGTGGTCAGGCTACTCGCTTATTTTTGCCAATGACTAGGGATCATTTGAGGGGCAAAAGAAGAGCTTCAAAGTCAGACAACTTGGTCTCCATGTAAGAGTAGTTATGGTCTGGTGACAGGAATTTGAGACCCTTGGGTTCCAACCTCAGCTCTGACACTCAGTAGCTGTGTGACCCCCAGGAATTGACGACTTCTCTGAACCTCTTGTTGGTAAGCTGGACGCCATCATGTTTCCCTGAAAAGGTTATTGTGTGCTGCAAATCTGCATGCTGCCACCTTCTTGCTACATGACTTTGTCCAAGCTAAATACCCAGTATCATCATCTGTGAACAGAGATAGAGAAGACTTAGTTTTCCTCATAGTATTATGGCTAAAATCAAGGTAGACATTATATGTGAATGAAATCCTTTTGTAAAATACGTGGAGTATATGAGTGGTGGTATTTTAATTGTTGATCCTTCTCTCTTTATTTACCCCACACTGTGGACCAAGGGCCTTAAAAATTTGTGAAAACCCCCTCTGAGAGTCAAAACTGTAGCTACAGCTAAAACTCTCTCCTTTGACCAAACCTAAACTCTTCAGAGGCTCCTTTCTCACCCACAATGCTTAGGCTTCAGTTAGAATGAAAATAGTAGTCAATACTGTTTCACCAGAGTAGACCTCTTAATCTAGATTTCTCTCTATTTCTTTCTTCTTCTTCTTCTTCTTTTTTTTTTTTAATTATGACCATCTTTCTTCCCCAACAGCAAACATTCAAGTCTCAAAACACCATAATGAGCCCTGAGTTGTTTGGCTCTAAGTTCAAAAAAAAGCCCATGCAGGTGCCGTCCTGCATATCCCCCTTTTCTTCTGAATTCCTCCAAATCAGGTCTCCACTCTCATTCTGGATGTTTCCTCTGATTCCAAACCATGCTCCTTGACACCATGTCCAGTGCTTCTCAAAAGCTTATAGATTACATCCTTCTTCTAAATAAGTGCTTAGTAAATACTGGTGATGATCATCAGTACAATGAGTAAAATCACTCCCGCTCTAGAGAGAAATGAAAGGCTCAGGCTTTGGAATCAGAAGGAACTGGGTTCAATTCCCTGCCCTCATTGACCGGAACATCAAGTCAGGTATTTGTTTCTCTTGACTTTGGTCCCCTCATTTCTAAAATGGCAATAAGAACCCCCTATCTAATAGGCTCCTTGTAAGGATGAAATGAGACAATAGATAGAAGGAGTTCAGTGCAGTAAATGGGAACCAGGAGTAGCGTAGTAGTTTTATCTGTGACCGCACAACCCTGGGTCTTCAGCGTCTTCAGCTGGCCCTCACGAAGCAAAGTTATTCCTACAGTCCAGACAGTGAGGTGTTTGATATTCTTTGACTTGGTCACTAACATCACACTACATGTAAAAGAGAATTTTTCCAAAGTATCATCAAGTTAATAAACATACTATTGCCTAGAGGACAAAGTAAGGTACTGGACTGAATTGCAAAATACATGAAAACGATGATCTCATTGAGGTTCCTGTTACAATTTCTTCCCCTTCCCAGTCTCTTGGAAAATGTGTAGTTGATTAACATAAATAGCAAAACGAGGGGGGGGGGGCGTGTTTAAAAACAAACCAGCAGGGGCACCCGGGAGGCTCAGTCAGTTAAGCGTCTGCCTTTAGCTCAGGTCATGAACTCAGGGTCCTGGGATCAAGTTCCACATCGGGCTCCCTGCTCAGTCAAATAAATAAATAAAATCTTTAAAAAATTTTTTAAAACAAGCAAAAAAACTTCTCCAAACTATTGGGGGCAGAGAAGGGTTGTAGCTTCTGATCATCCTTTTATTTTAACAGCCCAAACTTTTATCAAGAGAATTGTTGGACCTCGTGGCTTCACATTTCAACCTGAAAGAAAAGGAGTACTTTGGAATAACATTTACAGATGATACGTGAGTGTTTTAATCATTTTCATTTGTTTACCTTTCACGGGCATGACCTGCTCCCTGTCATTCACAGTCAGCAGAAAAGGGCAGAAATGCTCCAAGAATTAGAATATGTCCTGCTTAGTTAAAGATTATCTGAGACTTCTCTCCTAGGACTATTGCAAAGGGAGAAGAAAGGGAATACTGATCATTTTTAAACACCAAAATATTATCTTAATGTTTTAGAAATGTGTTATAATGAGTTGCTATTCTTGGGAGTCTATCTGCACAGTTTTTATACTGTAGTTATGTATGTGTGGTCATTATTCACTCATATACTGCAACGAGAATTAATGTTTTGGGTGTTGGTGGCAAGAAAGTTTAAAGGCAAATGTATGGCCCACCTGAAAAATGTGTTTCTACTTTTAACTAAAAATGACCTTTTTTGATCCCGGGGTCCTGGGATAGAGCCCCGTATCGGGCTCTCTGCTCAGCAGGGAGCCTGCTTCCCTTCCTCTCTCTCTTTGCCTGCCTCTCTGCCTACTTGTGATCTCTGTCTGTCAAATAAATAAATAAAAATCTTTAAAAAATAATTTAAAAATTTTTAAAAACATTTTTTAAATGACCTTTTTCACTTCCCCCTATGTCATTTTATGTTACCTCTTTACAATCTTTTTCTTCTTCTACTTATATTTTTTATGCTAACTTGGACAAAGCATATATTTATCAATGATATAAATGCTTTCTGAAATGAAGCATGTGTATAATAATAGACTCATAAGAAGTTAAATCCCCATGTAAAAAAATGTTTTGGTCTTACCAGTTTTCCTCTGTGTGTGTGTGTGTGTATGTATGTGTGTGTATGTGTGTGTTCTGACAGTCCCATTTGCCTAAGTTATTTGCAACCTGATAGATTATCAGAGGAATTCTTCCTCTTTGTGGGGATAATATCCAAAGAGTTCTTCAAATATTAAAATTCAAGCAAATGCATTCCAGACACAAAATATATTGGCCAACTACCCAGCATTCTTTCTGGAACTCTCCCAGTGTAAATTTTTTTTTCAGTTCTTTAATTTAACCAGGCAGAAAATAATTTCAAGATGGGGTTAATTTTTTTTTAACACCTTGCTTCTGATTATTTTCAGCCTGGGTGGGCCACAAGCCTAGCCACACACACACATACACACACAAACACACACACACACACACACCCATGGGCTGGGGAAAACCACTTGTCAGGAGACAGAAAAACCTGAAAATTCTGATCCCAGACCCAGGATGCTTCCTGAATCGGAAGTACACTGAACAAAAAAAATACACTTAGACATTGCCCGCCTCACTTTGATTCACAAAATTATCAGTTTACCCAACAGCTATTTGAGACCCTGTATGATCAGTCCTCTGCTGGAGGAAATAGGAAGTGCAGACATCCATTGACCACCTACTCTTAGCTGGAAAGACAAGGCTAGTTCATGTAAATGTTCATGTGAATTAGTGATTACACACACACACACACACAGAGGTTGAAAGTGATTGTACATGCAATAATTACAAACAATATATGAAGCCTAAAACACATAATGGCTAAGCTATCTGGTTGAAACACTGTGGTTTAGAGAGGTCACATAGAATAGAGGCAAAAAGCATGAATAGTAATTTATTCATTCAGCAAATATTTCTTGAGTGCCCACGAAATGCCGGGCATTGTTCTAGGTCCTAGAGATTTAGCTGTGCATGACAGAGACAAAGTTCTTGTTTTCACCGAGCTTATATTGCAATGGTATGGTCTAGCAGAACAAGTAAACAAATAGATAAATGAGAAATTACTTGAAATGATAAGTGCATAGAAGAAAATGATGGTGGCCATGATGAAGAAAAGTTGGTGGGGGGTGTTAGATAGGATGGACGAGGAGGGCTTCTAGGAGGAGACATTTAATAAGAAGCAAGATCCAATTCTGCGTTTGTAGAGGGAGGCATTCCAGACAAAAGCCGGGGCGAAAGCTTTGAGGTGAGACAGAGCTTGACTTTTGTTTTTTGGGTTTTTTTAATTTTGTATTTTTGAGAAAGAAAAAACAATCCAGTATGACTGGAACATCGAGAGTAAGAAAGAAAGTGGTGCTGGTGAAGGGCTGAGAGGGAGGCAGGGAGTGGCTATTATAGAATTGTGGTAGCTATGAGATTTTAGGACAGTTACTTAACATCTCCGCTACTCCAGTGTTCTCTTTGATACATTGGGCATAATAATGGTACCTTCATATAATAAGGACTACATAAGATACATGTAATAGGATGCTGGGATTATGTACTGTTAAGTCCGGTAGGGCATGCCCAGTTCATAGGTTAGGCACACGCTGGAAGGTAGTTGTCATGCTATTGTTGGTATAGTGGTAAGTTCAGTGTCCAGAAGGGGCCTAATGGATGACTAGAGTGGAATTCTCCCAAGAGAATAACTACAAATGGACAGGGCAGGGCAGGTAGACTTTGGGTGGAGGGGAGAGAAATGGGCGATGACATTCTAGGAAAGACTCATTTTGTGGCTCAGTGTGTGAGCATGGAGAGGACTATGGTGCATTTGCCCAGTGGTGAGGAGCCCGGCCTGATGGTGGCGCAAGAGGTAAGAGGAACACGATCATAGGTGAGCCCTGTGTGTCACATAGATGGGAGAGGCACCCTCCCCCCACCCCGCCCCGCTGTAGGATGTTTGCACAGGAATTACATGATTTATGACTGGTGTTGCAAGTTCCCCAATGGATGGCTTCTGGGAAAACTCCAGTTCAGGTGAGCATAACCAAACTGCATAACTCAGTCATTCAGCTGTAAGGTCTTCTCTTCAGAAAGGAAAGGTATAATACGAATGACTTCCTTTAATGCCTTGAGCCATGTTCCCCCCTCTTCTACTCTGGGATATCTTTCTAAATCCCCTACTGGGAGAAGAATGTCTCACTCGAGGGTCTCCTCCAGCATTCTCGTTTGGCGACAGTGGTTGATGGTTGTAGTCTTTCCAAGAAGCCTGGCTCCATACTGTCCTCCATGTACTCCCCAGCAAGTGACAGCACAGTCTATTTTTGAATTACGAACAGTTTAGAAGGTGTCTTCTGGCTATAGCTATGTTTATTTTCAGAAGAAGCAGGAGCTGGGAACTGGGAGGGGAGAGGGGGATTTGGCCATTTCCACTTTCTGGGGAACAGGTCTGGAAAATTGCTCTAAGGGTGTCTCCTTGGAATGTCTTGGTCACAAGCCCTAGCTCTTTTTTTTGTCTGGTAAATATTTTTGGAAAGTATTTTCTTTCAGCACTCCCTTTCCCCCGCCCCCATAAAACCGCTGAGTGGGATCCCTCCCAGGATGCTGTCTGAATTGAATTTCCAACTTAGATGCCACATCAGCCATCTGCCTTTGGTGAACTTCTCTCAACAGAGTAAGATAAAACTGAGGGGGACCTTTTGTCAATGAAACTTGCTACTGTCTATGCCTCCATGCACAAGCCAAGAAGAGAAATGGAAAAACTGAATTACACCATTTCTTACATAAGAAAAGTGGTGATAGTGACCAACAAAAATAAATCCACAGTCCTGTTGGAGGGTGGGGTAGAGTTCCTTGAGATTCCACTTGGAAGTACCTCCTTGTGATCTGTATGCAGAGGCAGTATTTCACCTCTAGAGAGCAGTCTTGCCCTCCTGAACCAGCAGCCCTGAGGTTCACCAAAATGGTTCCCATCTCCTACAATCCACTTCATTTTTCTTTAATTCTCTTGTTTTGAAAGACTTTGCTGAATAAGCTTTGCTTATGAAGAAATAACAGTTTTCACAAAACAATTGTGACTTTTGATCACCATCCCATTTGCTGGGTGTGAGCTGGTGGTGGGCTTTTGGACTGATACCATTCCAGACGGAAAAAAAAAAAAAAAAAAAAGCTTGCTTTAGGGTTGAGCTGAGCAGCTTGATAGAGGAGATCATACAGTCAACTGTGTTCTTGAGACATTGATTAGCTCTAGTATATTTGCTGATGGAAAAACTTGGGAAAAGCAGGTCAGAAGCAAAAGTGCTTTTTGATTCATTTTAGTCTTAAAGACTATAAAACAACACATTAATCTTGTGTATATCTCAATGGTAGAGTTATGGGTAATTTTCAGTGTTTTGTTCTTCTAATTTGATCTTGTTGGTGAGATTATGGATGCGGGGTTTTTTTAAAATTTATTATTATTATTATTATTTTAGTAATCTCTACAGCCAGTGTGGGGCTCGAGTTCACAACCTCAGTATCAAGAGTCACCTGTTCTTGCAACTGAGCCAGCCAGGCATTCCTGGATGTATTTTTAAAACCTAATTCCTAACTTACCCTTTTTAAAAAAATAATTTTTATGGTACATATACATGAATGTCTTTTTATAAAAAACATTTAATATCATGATTGAAGCCAGTCCCTTTGGATTGCCTCCCCACTCCAAAGGTCGCAGTTTGCTCTATACCTCTCCAGAACTATAAGAATTTCATCCATATATAATAGTGTTTTCAATGTGTGTCTTTGGTTAATATAATTGATTTATGTCATATATGTTATTATACAACTTCTTTCCTTCATTCTTGGACATCATTCCATACAAGTTCATGTAAATATATATTGTACTCTTATAATAATGCCATATCTTTCCTATATAAAAGCAAAAACCACAAGTCCAAGTTAGTCTCATTTTCCCTAAGAAACTGTTAAGATCTGATACTATACACTATTTCATGTACTTTAAGACACATATTTGAACATGTCTGAGATTGTTGTATGTCTTTAAATCAGCGATTCTAATCTGGATGAAATACAGTAGAAGAGTCCCTTACCTTCTAGCCCCCTATCTTTATATATATGTTTTTTTAAACAAGCAGTGTTTCTTAGAACATCCCCTTATATCACTTATATCATCTTATTTATCTTTATAATGTTTCTCCTAGGAAAGCTAGGGATAATTATTGGAAGCCTCATTTTATAACTGCAGAAACAAAGACACACGTTTTCCAGTGTTGAGAATAATAAGTGACAGATATCAGCCAAACGCTATAAAAGCTGATTCAATATTCCAGTCGCCTAATATACCAAAGTCCTGTAGTGTAAGTCCTGAGCTCAAATCCTGGCTCTGCCACTTTTTTTGCAAGCTGACTGTAAAATACAGCCTTAACACATAAAAACTTCCAGCTCTGTGGGGACAGAGTAACTGTTATTATTATGAGTAACTGTTATTAATGATTATTATTACTATTACACTTATATTGTTTATGTTCACTTTTCCTATCTACTTATAATGAATACAGCTTAGAGTTTTCTGAGTTTTTTAAATTATTTATTCAAAGACCAAAAAAAGTTGGAAAATACCTTGTGGCCCATTATAGGTTTTATTATAATTTGACACCCCACAACCATTTGCATGTTTATAAGCTTTCTATAAGCAAGCAAAATGGAGTCTGTGCCTTCTTGGAGTGCCTTCTGGGAATATACAGTCTAAAACGGACAGCTGGTTGGACTGCCTTGGAAAAGTCCTGGAAACAAATCCCAAGCTACAGTATCATCCTTTGGATCCCTCAGAGGTCAAAATTTAGGGAGAACTATTTATATTCATGGACTTGCTGATGCTCTTGAGTAAATAAAAAATACATGCTCAAATATTAGGAAGTCCATAATATAGAAACAGCACTCCGAGAATATGGAAACCCATGCTTTATAGAAAGCTGTACTGTTGTTCTTTGTGTCTGTCTGATTTCATGAAACCAGGCGTTTTCCCCTTCTTAACTCTCTGCAGTATTTCAGATATCATATTTAATAAGAATTTGAAGATTAATATATTAAGTTTCACCTAGTTTTTTACCTCCAGAGGTACCAGGTAGTATCAGTTTCTTGTTTATCCTCTCAGAGATATTTTATTCATATGTGTGTATGTGCGTATTTTTAAATTTTAAAATGGCTATATACAGTACTCAGGTTATGTACAGTGCTTTTCCATTTCACATCATGTTTTGGAAATTGTTCAAAGTAAGTTTGTGAAGATACCCTTCATCTTTTGTATGGCTGCCTTGTGTGTCTTTGCTCAGTTTAAATTCCTGTTCTAAGCAACACCTTGCTGGATATCTGGGAGTTGTTTTGAGCGTTTTTACTGTTACAACCAGTGCTCAAGTAAGGGACTTTATACATGAGCCATTTCTCACATGTGCAGGTTTACCTGGATAAATTCTTGGAAATCAACAGTCTGTCTCAGAGGCAGATGCTTTTATAACTTTGATAGTAATTGCTAAATTAGCCTCATTACCAGTTGTAACATGTTATACGCCTGCCTTCCCTGTATGCCAGTAACTCTTTGCTCACAGCTTTGCCAACACTGCATGTTATTGAACCTTTCTCTGACCTTCTGTTTAATCCTTTTTCTTTGCTTTGCTCTCACAGAGGTCAGCAGAACTGGCTACAGTTAGATCACCGTGTTCTTGACCATGATCTACCCAAGAAGCCAGGCGCCACCGTTTTGCATTTCGCTGTGAGGTATGTATCCATAGAAACATCCAGCGTTCCCACCTCCCTTTAAAAAAAAAAAAAAAAAAAAAACCTCTGGTGATCAGATAGAGAATTAAAAAAAAAAAAAAAAGAACAGACCTATCAAAACATTATTATGTGAGGAAAATTCTCTACTGTCTTAGTCTGGAGACGAAGTTGCCATAGATACTGTGTAGAACTGTTTTCTTTGATGATGAAGGGTAGGATCACCTTCCTTTATGCCTCAAAGTCCTTTGGACCAATTTAAAGCTGGAAAACATAGGTACTTTTTTTTAATATATAAGGCTGTTTTCAACTCAGAATACTTTTAGGATTTTTATAATTTGAAATGTGGCAGACATTTACTGTTACATGTTATGTAGGAATGTTTCCTAGAGACTGTGACAAGAATTGAATTTTATACAATTTCATGCTTTAGTTTGAATAGAAGATAAAATGCAAACAAATGCTCATGGAAAGAATTATCTTAACAGTGCAGAAATCTGAATTCAGCTTGCAGGCAGAGAGATTGCTGAGAAGGATGTAAGGAGTCCTTGACTTGTCCCCTGGCTCTGCTTGGGCAGGTCACTTACCCATTCCTAGGGCGTCCGTACATTCTTTCTCCAGAAATGGATGCATTCAACTCAATCAGTGATTTCTTAAAGCCAGCCCATGATGGGAATAGTGTTCCACATGAAATATTCACACTCTAAAATAAAGAAAATGTTATAAAAAGTAACACCTGTGTTCCTGTACCTAGCTTAAGAAATAAAACATTCCCAATTTTGCTTGAAAGCCCCTTTCTGTGCCCTGGCAGCTCTCCCCCCATTACCTGAATTTGATGATAAATTTCACGGTAAGTTGTTTTCCTTGTCTGAAGCCAAATATGATCAAATAAGTCAAGGTAGTAGATTTCCCAGGAATCCAAATAAGTTTTCAGAAAGCTAGAGCAACCTAAAGAATGTTTCTGTATTCTGAGCTTGTGTTATTTTTTGGATATTGAAATATGCTTTGTTTGAGATGCCTGGCTAGCTCAGTTGGTAGAGTGTGGAACTCTTGATCTCTGGGTTGTGACATGTTTGACAGTTGGAGAGTTTAGTTCAGAGGCACATGCGTTTATAATTTTAATAGCTTACTTAAAAAAAGAAAGGAGGGGAAGAAAAGGAAAGGGGAAGGAAAGGAAAGGAAAAAGGAAGGAAGGAAAAGGAAAGTAAAGGAAGAAAGAAAGAGGGAAGGAAAGAAAGATGATTTGTTTTATGACCTAGTAGTGGAAGCTTCTTATTTTTCTTTTTGGGAATTTTTATACTATGATTACCTGGCAAAATCATGTTGATTTACACAATTTTTTTTTTAACTTCATTTCATTTACTTCAGTCTGGTCCATGAAACCCAAAAGTATGGCAGTAATCTTTTTTTTAAGCATCTTTTTTTATATGAATGGTGATTGTCGATGGTATCTGCTCCTAACTTAGGAAATAAAGTATTGGCAATCTCCAATTTGTTTTTGTTTTGTTTTGTTTTTGCTTTCTGCTTTGATATCTGGCTTGGAATTTCTTTCATACCACAAGACATGTTTTTGAAACCCAAAAAGGAAGTAGCATAAATGGTGATTTGTCCAGGAGCATAGCTAGTGTGGAGAATTGCCCAGAAATCCTAAAGAAAGACATAGGAGTTTCCTGGAAGGAGTATGTATGCTTGTGTGCATGGGAATAGGAGGAAAAGGCAAGTGCAAACTAACAAGCAGTAAGAAAGAGTGCACGTTAGTCAATAAGCGGGTCAGAGCACAGAGAAATTTTAATCTTGTGTGTGAAAAATGGCTCAACATAGGTCAATATATTTTTTCACAAAAGATTATAGTTTCACTATAAACATTTCACATTATATGAACTTACTCTCCTCCAGCCTTCCTCCCTCCCCACCACCCCTGATATCCTCCTCTTCTCAGAGAAAAATAAGGATGACCCTCGTTGCCTGGTGACAGAATTGTTTTAGCCTCAAAATTTCTCCTTGTGTCTGTGAAAATCCTCTTTGTTTGCGCTTTCAAAATTTAGGGTCCAGTCGCCTATGAAGCACTTAAGCTGTTTCCAATTATGTATGTTTTAATGCAGGCTGTGGTTAAGATCCTTGCATTTTCATCTTTGCACGCACGTGTTACTTACGTGGCATAAGTAGCCAGCAAGACCCTCTGTCTTTGGAGAATTTAACAAGTACCATTTATTTAGTCATCCGATTGTGAACTCCTCCGACGGCTGATGTGTGGTCTAGTTTGGGTCTCAAAACACCAGGGGAGAAAACTCTGTCTCCCTTCTATTCAGTCATTCCTTACGGCGGCCCTATCTTCTGGAAGCAGGTTCCTGAGATGCCCGAGCAGCCTGCTGCTTGTTTCCCTGAGTTTCAGCACTTACTTGAGCGTTATCTCTCGAGAGTGTCCCGTAATCACATGGCGTGACTTCCCCTTAACTTCTTGCATGTTCAGAACCCTTATCGAGTTCTTAATTATTCACTTAATTTTTCCTCCCAACAGTACAGTGAGATCATAATAGTCTTTGTTATTATTCCAATTAAGTGCTTGTTGTTACTCCAACTTAATTAAAGAGATGATAAAGCAAAAGCCGCAGAGAATTAAGTGAGCTGATGGAGGTCATGCAGTGGAATGTCGTCCTTTGGAAGGCTTGGAAGGGGGTCAGAGGTGCCCTGTGAAGTCTGGTCCCTCTCAGAGGACCTCTACCCTCTTCTTTTGAGAGAACAGAACCATTGGTGAGACTGACATCCCCATAGATAACATCACTGACACTCGGAAGTTGCGTCTGTCAGCTACACTTTTAGTCATTGAGGAATAGAACCCAAGACAGATTTTTGACTCTGTTTGGATATTGGTCCCTCCAGGAGCCTCCAGAAATATACCAACCCTCTTTAGAAATACACCAGCCCTCCATTTTTTTCTTCTTTTCAGTGGAAGTATAATTGACACACAATGTTACATTAGTTGCAAGTGTACAACATAGTGATTTGAGAAGCCTATACTGTATCCGGGGCTCACCACAAATGTCGCTACCCTCTATCACCATCCATTACTATACCATTGGCTGTATGCCTCTGCTATACCTTTCATCCCTGTGACTTACTCATTCTGTAACTGGAAGCAGTCATCAAGGTGCAGTCACGAAGCAGTGAAGACACAACAACAAAGGATTCCTGACAGGGGTAGCACATTATAAGGATGTGCCTTGTGGTTATTGTCATTGCAAACAGAAGTATTCAAAGGCCAACGATGAAGATAAGGTTCTGGAAATTATGGCGTTCTTACAATGAGTAATTGGTCACTTTAATAAAAGAGATTAGTTTTGTTTTTGTTTTTTTTAAGTACATTGCATTTCAGTGATTCCCCACAGAGAGAGGGGGTGCATATCTGAATCATCCTAGGAATCTTTAAACTAGACAATCATATCCCTCCAAGCCCCAGATCCCCCACATTCCTGGCCCAGCATCTGACCCTGGAGTAGATACTGTCTTGTTCAAGTTGGTTGTGACAACTAAAAGAGACATCGGGATAGGAAGTGAGTTTACAAAATGCTATAAAAATATAAGAAAATACAATTTTTCAAAAAACTGTAGTGTTTGTGGAAAAGAAAAAAATCATACAGTTTTGCTCTCAAGTAGTTCTCTCTCTATGGATATGTAGTATTAACCCGGTGGCAGGCACTGGGCTAAATATTTGATGTGCATTGTCTCACTGAGTCCTGAGCTAAACACTGGGGTCCTGCAGATCTGGGATTGGGGAGGGGGGCAACTTTCTCTTGGTTAATTCCCCCCAGGGCACAGGGAGCCGCTAAGAAACACAGGTTGCTTCTGCATGGAAGAAAGAAAACACTGAAGGTGAAGGGCATTTAGCGTTCCCTTTATGAACTTCAGGATTAAACCTTTGTCTTCTCTTCGGTTACAAAAGCTCAATGATATGTGCTAAATACGCATGTGACACCTGGGTGTATAGACACCCCATGATTTATTTATGCACCATATTTCATTGAACCAACTCTCCATTTCCATGTGAGTCCAAACTCCCCCAGGTTGCTGGGGGACTTCTCCGGGCTGGGGGGTTATTTGCTGCTGTAAATTATCTTCTGCAAACACAGGGGCCTCCTTGGTAATGCAGCCCAGATGTGAACATTGGAAAAGCTCGATAGCTAGAGAGCATGCAAGCATTTAAATCAGAGAGCAGGGCCTTGGTGTGACCTCACTGGAAAAGCTCCCATTCCCTCAGGGGAGACAGGGGAGGGCAGGCGGAGGTGGCTCAGGCTGGTACCACCCAGCTCCACTCCAGAGCCACGTCTCGGAGTCTTTTACTCCCTTCTTCTGACTCTTTGCTGCTCCCCCCACACCACCCCCCACCACTCCCCTTCTGGTCTTCCCTCTCCTGCCGGTTTTCCTCCTCCTCCTCAAGTCCCCTCTGCTGTGTCCTAGGGCTATAAAAGACCATTCAGATGTACCCCTAAGGCATTGTCTATGACACTCAGGGCTGAGAACTCCCTGCAGGACTTGGGGGAGGGGAGGGAAAACTGCTGCATTTTTCTGCCAAAGCTGTTGCAAACATGGAGCCCTAGAAAAACTTTAAAAGTTCTCTCAGCACCTGGTGGCCTGGTTCTGGAACACTCAGCCTTTAAAAAGAGTTAAACTGAAGGAGGCACATCATGACTGTAACCTGTGGGTCCCCATCATTCCACAGGACTTTTTTTCTTTTTTTAAGAAAACCAAATATACGGAATACAACACAACAGGCAAAAACAATCAAACAAAAACTTTGGTGAAAAAAGAGATTTGTTAATATGGAAAGATGCCCCCAATATAGTCAAGCAAACCACAAAACGTGTGACATGATTACACTTACGTGAAATACATGAGTAGGGAGAAAGTCTAAAATGCTTACAGTAGTTAATCTCTGAGTCGAATGATTCTGGGAATGATTGTTTTTGTCTTTTTGTTAATCTCTATATATTTTTTCCTACGATGAA